TGTGGATTTCTGAAGCTATTGGAAAATTGTAATGTAGGAATGTACATAAAATTATTAATCATTTCATTAATGCCAAACACTATATATTTATTATAGCTGATTATATTAAGAAGAAATGTTTAATAGATAACCATTTCGGAGTTGGATTTTCAGACCTACATATACCAAAGATATAAATTCAAGAAGAAAGCATTATCACTTACACTGGTGAAATCCTTATTTAATTATATCTAAATCTCATTTAACACTTTATGCTAATTTTTAGGATAATGTGGAACCACTGGCACCCCTGTGATCCATCCACTCTAATATGGAAGAAAATTACTTACCTACCACATTTATATAAGAAAATCTTAAGTTTATGCCCTTAAGAAATAACTAAACCACGGAACAAATACTCTTTAATCCCTCATCCTGTTTGAAGCATGGGACATTCCACTCTGCAGTGGTTCCTGCATTGTAACCTCCCTGAGTATCTCTGCTATCCTCTCAGCGGAAGCCCTGATGCGTGAGAACACAGGCCACTGGGATGTCTTCAGGCATCCACTCCAAGTGCGCGCTACAACGCAGCTTGTGTTTGTCCTCAGTCTGGGCCTTTCTTATCTGACAGTGTTTCTTCCCTTCTCTTCAGCACCATGGACGGTCTTGGGACACATTGAAACACAACAGGGAGAAAAAACAAAAGGTGACCTCATCTGTTAATTTAGTTAGAGGGCCTGGTCCAGCCAGCCGACAAGAAATGCAGGTAACTGTTTCAAACACAACTAATTCTTTTTTTTTTTTTTTTTTTTTTTTTTTTGGTTTTTCGAGACAGGGTTTCTCTGTGTAGTTTTGCGCCTGTCCTGGAACTCACTTGGTAGCCCAGGCTGGCCTCGAACTCACAGAGATCCGCCTGGCTCTGCCTCCTGAGTGCTGGGATTAAAGGCGTGCGCCACCACCGCCCGGCCACAACTAATTCTTAAACATCCTTTATCAAGAGAAAAGTAAATGATGACAAGTATAAGTTATCACACTCAAAACAACACCACCCCCACTTCTTCTAACACATTAAATAACGCCAAGGAGGTGGAGGGATACAATGGTCATTGTTCATTACAAGCTACATTTAGTGTACTATACTGTATTTTTCTTCCAATTCTATCATTTTCCAGTCTTCCATACTCTAACCATTCTTCAAGGTACTACTTCCTCCATGGAGTCTGCTCTTGTGATCCTTAGCTTTAGGGACCGTAGAGAAAGAATGCATAATAGTGTAGTTTCCTAGGGCTCTTCTGCAGGCTCAACTATAAATCTTGTCCTTACATCCATGAGATAATTCATTAAACTTGTAAGTCTCCTTTTTAAATTACTAGAGACTATATGAGGTTTTATTACTTTCAATCAAAGAACTTTTGAATGATGAATTTGACAAGTTAGAGTTCTTAATTATTATTTCAATGTTCATTTTTGTACTCAGCTAGTGGATAAATAATAAATATTTAGACCTGCTCAGTCCATGTATCAGCCATTAACTACGCAGTGTGTGGGGAATTGAAATGTGGGTATTACAAATATAAATGTGTTACAAATATAAAAAGCACACACAACTTTAAATTTGCATTAAAAAAGTTGTGAACCTGTATGCTTATTACATATTTTAAAATGATATACATATGTATTGGATTAAAGATAATACTAAAATAATTTCACCTACTTTTTAAAAAACTTATACATCTATCAAAATAAAAATTATACATATAGCTGCAGTATTCTCATTTTATGATAATCCTAATATTCAATGATTTGATTTTCTTAAATCTGGAAACATGGGAAAGAATAAATATGATTATTTCAGTGAATTCTAGAAATTTTTACAAGTTTGTTTACAGTAGGTTCATATATATTTAGGATGCCCAGAAAACTCAATGTATTTATTGTATTCAATTGAACAGGGAGGCAGGGTTATTGCATACAGATAAACAGAGTCTGAGCTATTATATTAGCTGAACAGACAGGCAGGCTTGGCTAATCCCAATAGAAGCAGTCTCTGTAGAGGAGCAGTCTTCAGGCCATAAACTTTCCAGCGTGGGGGAGAGAGCTACAGTGGAAATTTTCTGCACACACTGTCAATATTCACATGACTGACATTCATCCTGGACTTCACGAGCTTCCAGCAGATGAGTGAGTAGCCCAGTGGGTTATTAGAATGCAGGATTGAACTGGAGGAAGTGTCTTACTGAGGTGTAACCTTCAGAAGTACACCTTGCCCAATATCCTGTCTCTCCATGTCTCTGTATCTCAAGTGCCCCTGAGGAAGGTCACCTCTTAAAACACTTGTTTCCACTGCCACAATACCCCACCTCATCTCAGGCCCAAAGTGATGGAATGGTGACCACAGACTGACCCCTCTGGAATGTTTCCTTCTTTAGATGATTGATTTTTCCTGAGTATATACCACAGTCACATACATGTACCAAAATGAATTTATCGCTAACACCAACAGTACTTACTTGGTATTTTTGCAGATTTTTCTGCTGAAAAGAGAATATATATTATGTTTTACTAAGATAATAAAGCAAGGGATTTGTAGCATGTGTCAATGGACTATGTAAGTGTACCTAATCTCTTCAGGTCCTTCCCCTACTGATTAAAAATTAATGAACAAATATAGCTTTCCATTGCCTGTGAACATGTTTCTTTGAATAACGTGGTCTCTTTTATAGATGAAGATATGCATGCTGTCAAAAAAGCCATTCTTCATCTCAACTGTCAAGCAATTTAATTTTTTAACACTCTTACTAAAATCAGCAGGATCTTTTAAAAATTATTTTAGTTCAACTGTAATTATAGATAACTTGAATAAAATTACTTTGCATGATGCAGTTTATGTACACTTTACAATTTCTAAACTACATAAAGTATATTGAGAATTATTTCCCTTTCAACGATGAATAAAGGCAAGTAACTGCCAATTACATTAAGAAACTAATGACTCTGTAAACGCATCATACAAATTGGATTTTTTTCTTTTCTCTTTTCAGTGAGTGATGATTATTTGAAGAAGTGCATCTCATTAACTGTATGTTTATAACATAAAATACACAGTGAGATGATTATTCAAAATGCTAGGGGATAGGCTATTTTCTTAGAAAAGGAGATGGGTCATATCTGTCTTCTACCACCATTTATTAAATTTAAATGGTCAGGCTTCAAAATATAATTTCAATAGAATCTGAATTACATTGACATACTTTAAGACCTGTGGAGTTTCTCCTGCAGATTTAAGAATTACAAATTTACAAATATATAGTTTTAAAAGAAAACAGTTTGAATTTGGAGACTTGTGTTTTGGGGATTGCTGTAGCTGGACGCCTTAAACAGAAAATCACAAAGCTAAATAACTTAAAGTTCTTCACTAATAATTCTTCTACTTTAAAAATACTAGCATGGTTAAGGAGATAGAACCTACAAAGGACCCAAGTGGAAACCAAGATACAATGAACTATCCTTTAAATGAAGAAACAAGTAATGCTTGTAATGAACTGGTATGCTTCGAGAATTAACAGTTCTTCTCCACTGAATGCCATAGTGCCGTCTCAATTACTAATAAGTACATGGCACAATGTATGTAGGAACATCCTGCCTTTTGAGTGTACATGCTACAACAAGCACCAAAGGGACCTGAGGGAAACCAGGGTTTGTCTTCCTCTCCATGAAGATCTATGTGTTTATGACAAAGAAAAATAATTGACTGTGGTTGGGCTTCTCTTCTGTCTTAGGGGAATTAGTTCTAAAATCTTGTTCTCATGTATTAGCAGAAAGTCATATCCACAAACTTCTTTAAAAATCAGTGTTAGTTATAATAATGTCGAGTACAATATGAATTTACATAGCAATAGAGAATATTAATGTTCATAAAGTTCAAGTTTACCTTTAGTCACATTATGCACATGAAGATTTTCTTGTCTTGTTGGAACTGTTTATTAAAAATGCATATTAAAATATAAAACTTTAAAGTAACTTTGCATTAAATGTTTGCCTCATTTTAAATATTAAATTATGAGATTAGAATAATTGCAGTGTTATAACTAGTTTCTCAAAGTAATTTTCAACAATTTCGTTTTATATTGAACTAATATCTAATGAAAGTAAGTGGTAACAAAATTATCATTCTACTGTTAAAAAGAGAGATACAACAGTAATGCAATTATTTAGAGGATTAGTATTTGTGGAAAACAGGTCACCCTGAGCACTCAAATAGGAATAAACCAAACTTATCATTTTTATTTTTGTCAATCATGCTTTCTTCTTGGTTTGGTATGTATTTATTAGATAATTAATGCATCTGTAAGCTTTCCAAATGATTATGCTAAAACCAACCATGACTGTATGATATTAGGTAGCTTACTAATGTAAACCTAATTTTAAGGGGAAAGGAAAACTGTCATATGGTTTCCAGATTGTCCACCAGTGGCAAAATAAATGAATGCTTAATTTCTACAATTTATCTTTCATCCATTAATGTTTTGACAATGTCACCATACCATATTCACTAAAAATTTCTTTCAATCAAACAATACCTTTAAAATGCACACCTTAAATTTTACTTAAAGATGATATAAATAAAATATAACTCAAATGATTCTGGCTTCAAAACATTGGCTTATTTTTATCTTTTCCTGATAATATTTATATTTCACTTTAATGTTCTTCAGTAAAAATAACCAAAGGATACCTTAAATAAATGTCTGTATTCTTATGTGTTGAAGTTTGGTAATGAATTTTGTGTCATCAATATCCACAATTCAAGTCATATGTATGAAGTTTGTTTATCAATAAGAGGTAGGTAGAATTTACTTTGGGATCTAAATTTTTTATTCCTTTGATACTTAATAATAACCATGAGAAGACTATAACTTTTGAGTGTTTAACTGAAATTTTGATATAACCAATAACCAATTTTCATGAATTGCTTTGCTTCTTTTTTTTGAGACATACATGTATAAATTTGCTATGTTTACCTTTATTTTCCTTTTCAGATTTTTCAGTTTTCTTCTTCCCTAGGAAGAAAAAAATGACACACAACAATCAGCTTGTGAAACATAATGTTTTCATTCATTCTTGGACAGCTGAAAATGAGTATTGAGCCCATGAGACCGATGGGTGATTAGGGCTGTTCCACTTTGAGATGAGTAGGGACATTCTAGGTATGAAAAGAAGTGTGCTACTTATATTTAGCTACCTGTATGTATAGTGCCCTTTGTTTTTCCTTATGTAATTTGAAGAATAAGACTACAGCGTTAAAAAGAGAGATTCAAAATAGAAGCAGAAAAAAAATCTAAATTTTCATTGTTGCTGTAGATAATTAAGATTTGACATTGTACAGTAGTTTCTCAAACTAATGGATGTAAACAATGAAAAAGTCACTTGGGCTAGCTAAATAGACTGTGGAAATAGATTAGCAAACAATGATATTGACTGACTGATGGTTTTCCTTAATATGTGTTTTAGGCAAGAACGAGAAATAATGAGTGAAAACTAAATATATGGTGGAAATGTGAGGTATGTTTTTTATTCACTCTTACAAGTAGGTTTTGGAAGACTTGTACTTGTCTGCAGATGAGAACACCAAGAACTTGAGCATTTGAGCAACTTTGTTTATGCCTGTTCATGCTACATGGTTAAAGACAGACCCAGGTTACAACTATTTTCCATAATTCAGTATTACTTCATTTCAGAGACAAAATATTTACCTGAGTCTGTGACTTCTGATGTTCCTTCTTTAGAAGAAAATAGTTAAAAGAGAAAGAAAAATAGAAGATAATAATGTTTATTTTGGTAGGTAATTGAACTTTATTTTCAGATATTCTTATTAAATCACAATAGACAAAATGCCGAAAATGACAAAGAAATATTCTGATAATTAGTACTTCTAAACTACAATGAGACATCTACTTTGAAAATGGATTTATTGTACAAAGTAAGTAAGAGCCATCCAATATGATACAGGTAAATTTTAAACCATATAAAATTACAATATAAATTTTATAACTCTGTTGCATCAATGTTTAACTTGATCTCATAAATGCATGCATTTCCCATTAACTTTTATTAAATTCCCATATATAAGATTCTGTGCCATGGGCAGTGAAATGAAATTATAAAAGGCAGTGTAAACTGTAGCAGCAACTGACTTAGCACTTAGTGATGTAAAATGATATTTGCCTTTAGTTGTAACATTGCTTAAACAGTATTTGTTTTTTCTCCTTTAGTTAATTCACAGACTAATAATATTCTAAATGTTACTCAGCAAGTTTTTTATCCTTAAAATTATATGAAAAGATCAATATTTACTGAAAATAAATCTTTCAAACTATCAAAAAGTACCTCTTAAAACACTAATTTCTAGAAAATTTACATATTTAGTTATTAATCCTCAGTAAAATTCTTGGAGCTACATCTATATTTTTAGAAGAAGTAAAATAATTTTAATAATGACTGTAATAAATTAATAAGTTCATAAACAAAATATTATTTTCTCATGGCAATCATTCTATTTTAACTGGAAACCTTTTATTTTGGTAATATTCTTTACATCAGCAGTGATAATACAAACTAAGTATGGAAACAATTTTCTCCATTGTAAGAGTAATATTTAATGTTTAAGGTTGACACTTTAACTCTTCAGAGGAATCCATAGCTGGATTTTTTTAAGAATGTTATAATGCTATTAAGAAAGCAGTTGGTCCTTGGCATTTAAAAAATTTAAAATGAGCTCCCTCTCTGCCTCCATTCCTTGGGGATTGTCCTAATCCTTGTGTGGAGTCAACCATCCTCCTCATTCCATCTGTTTGTGCCCGCCTCTGACACCTGGAGGCAGTCTCTACCTGGGAACCTACTGTCCAGCAGACATGGGAAACAAGTAGGTGATCTTCATTGTCTTTCACTTCTCCTGCACTTTTCTATTCCTAATTTCCCAGTCTTATCCTCAGCCCCATAGCAGATCATTTGCAAAAATCTGCCCTCCCTCTTGGCCCCCATTACCTGTAGATTCTGCTTTACTTGTAGGCATAACCAGCTTTCTTCCTACATGTGGATCATTCCAGAGCCCACTTCAAGCTCATCTCCATTCCTTCCTGTCAGCCCTAATACTAGAAATACTTTTTAACCTACCTGGGATCCCCAGTGACCAAACACACTGACAGGGAACAGAAGCATTCCCTACCAGGCAACCCCACACCCCCCAAACTCTCCTAAGATCCAGAGAGAGCAACAGAAACCAAGGAATGGTACACCTACTTCAAAAAGACAAGACCAGATATCAAGACCTAGAATCACAATCATCCCGAATGCAGATGCCTAGGCACCATCACAGAACACATTCGTTAACACCCAAAACAAAGTGTCTCCACCAGAAGCCAGGAACCCTATCTGAGAAATATACTATGAATGAGCATGAGACAAGGACTTCAAAATAACTCCTACAAATGTATTCAAGATCCTTAAAGAGAATATCAATAACTCCATTAATAAAATCTGCAAAAACAGTAACAGTGGCGTGGAATCATGAAAAAAGTTCAAGTCACGGAAGTAGAAATGGAATCACTAAAGAAAACCAAAACTGAAGAAAAACTGGAAAGGAAAAATTTAGGAAGTTAAGCAAAAACCTCAATGGTAAACTTCACAAACCTTCCACAAACTAATGGAGGAGAGAAGACAAGATAGAAGAGACAGATATCACAGGCAAAAAAAAACCCACAAAAACAAAAACAAAAACAAACTCTTAAATCTAAAAATGCCAAGAAAATATCAAGGCACAAAACGCCCAGGAAATTTGGGACATTATGAAATGAACAAACATAAGAAAAATAGTAAAAGAGGAAGGAGAAAAACTCAGGTCAAAGGAGCAGAATATAACTTTTATTTTGTTTGTTATTGAAAATAGATTGATTTCTTACAATTATAAAATTTCTGATTATGGTTTGTCCTCCCACATCTCATCCCACAGTCTCCCTAATTACTCACCCACCAAAATCTACACCCTCTCTTTCTCTACCTCACTGAAATACGACCAGGAATATAAAATAATAATACAATAAAGTAAAATAAGATTTCAACAAAATGATAGATGAAAATTTCCCTAACCTTCAGAAGGAGGTGCTTATCAAGATAAAAGAAGCAAACAGAACACCAACTAGACAGGCCAAGAAAGAAATTCCCCACAACATATAAATGTACACAACAGAGAAAGAATTCTAAAAGCTGCAAGGGAAAAAGACCAAGTAATATATAAAGGCAGACCCATTAGAATAATACCTGACTTATAATTGTAGACTCTAAAATCCAGAAAAATCTGGATAGATGTTCTAAAAATTTTTGGAGATTTTGGCCATCCCAGACTACTATACCCAGAACAACTTTCAATAACAATTGACAGAGAAAGAAAGACATTCTGTGCTAAAACCAGATTTAAGCACCATCTATCTATAAGACTAGTTGTATAGAAGGAAAACATCAACTTGAAGAGGTTTATCACACCAAAGAAAACAAAAGGAATATTTTATCTCAGACTAACATATCAAAAGAAGGGGAAAACACACCAGAACAGCAAAGCAACAGATGAAAAAACACTGCTCATTGATAGTTCTCAGTACTGGTGTTTTTAGTTCCCCAATAAAAAAGACATACTAATAGATAGGATTCAAAGATAAGATCCATCTTTACCCTGCATGCAAAAGACACACCCCAAAATCAAGGATAGACATAATCTCAGGATAAAAGCACGAAAAAAGCTATTGCAAACAAATAGATCCAATATGCAAACATGTGTAGCCATTTTAATATCTGACAAAATAGACTTCTAACCAAAAGAGATAGAAAAAGACAGGATTATCAAAGGAAAAATCAACCCAGAGGATAGTGCAATTCTAAACATTTATGCAGCAAACAGAAGAGCACCCAAGTTCATAAAAGAAACACTACTACAGTTACAATCATATATTTGCTCTCACAGTGATGGTGACTTCAGTATGTTACTCTTGCCAATAGATAGGTCATCCACACAAAAACTAAACAGAGAAATTCTGGAGCTGAATGATGTCAGAAACCAAAAGGGCCTAACAGATCTTTACAGAACATTTCACACGAACACAAAGGAGTATATTTTCTTCTTAGTAGTTTTCATCAGTAAATTTTTCCTAAACTGACTCCATGCCCAGGCTCAAAGCAAGCTTCAACAGATACAAGAAAATTGATATAACAACTTCTATTCTATCTCACTTCCATGGATTAAAGCTGGATATCAATAGCAACATGTACCACATAGAGTTTACATATTTGTGAAAACTGAACAACTCATTACCGAATGGAAAACTTGCTCTAGACAGAAATTAAGAAGGAAATTAAAGACTCCGTGGAATTGAATAAACATGAAAACACAAAACATGCGAACTTATGGAACACAACGAAGGTGGCCAAGATCAATAAAACAAATGATAGCTCATACCAGAGTGACCAAGATCAATAAAGTAAATGGTAGCCCATGCTAGTAGGCATATAAACTTGTACAACCACTATTAAAATCAGTGTGGCAGTTCCTCATAAACCTGGGAATAAATATATATCCAGTTACACCCAAAGGATGCTTCATCCTGCTACAGAAACACTTGTACACCTATGTTCCTTGCTGCTGTATTAATAAAACCCAGAAATCAGAAATAGCTGCTATGTTCACCAAAGAATGAATACATAATGACAAAATGGTACCTATATGCAATAGAATATTACTAAGCTATTAAAAAAAGTCATGTGTTGAGGTAAATGGATGGAGCTAGAACAAATTCCCAATGAGGTGACCTGGCCCAAAAGACAAGTATGGTATGTATTTTCTTATATATGGATATTAGCTGCTTAGTCTTAAAATATTAAGCTACAATCCATAAAACCACAGAGGTCATGTATAGAGTATGGGATTAGGATGAAAGGAAGGAGCTTATGAATAGACTATATAGTGTAGATAGGTGGTGGGAGGGAGCCTGGAACAGAAGAATAAAATGGAGAAGGAGAGGAACGAGCAGGTACTGGGTCAATTATAGAGAAAAACAGCTATAACCAAGGACCATTTGAGAAGTCATATGGAAACTTACTATAGTAGAAGCTTCTTTAAAGATACATATATATATGAAAGGTATCTAAATGGAATTTCCACATAATGGGGCAAACAAAGCCCTAACTCGACATCTTTTTCCTCCAAATGAAACTTTCTGTGTCCTCTAGTTGACCTGTTATTCAAAGATGCCCCAGGGAAACCACCAAATAACCCAGACTATTGCCAAGGTTGCTCTCCACAAACTGATGGTAAAGCCCTGTTGTTGAAGATAATGCCTACATAATTCAATGAACATGAAGAAGTCAAATTGGGGCATGCCTATAGCCTTCATCCTTACTTACTAGTGTTTATGGAACTGGAAGGTACTCTTCATGCTACTAATGGAGAAAACTAAACACCAACCCATTTATAAACCATTGGATTTACAATGGCAACCTGCTTGCAAGATCCACTGGCACAATAGTGGCACATAAATTTGGGGAGTAACCAAACACTACCTGATTGGATTAAAGATCCACTCCACGAAGTGGAAATGATGGCCAATGCTTCTCAGGTTTCCAAGAATCTAAGACAAGATAGGCCACAGGCCCAGGGTAAAACCAGATACAATTGTTCTCCTAAAAGATCATAGCAACACAGTGATTCCAAATGACATTCTGCTATACCTTAGGGCATCTTCTTGCTCAGCCATCATTAGAGCTGCTTCCTTCTTAAGCACATGGTGCAAATATAGCTGGACAGTGGGCATAGTGACAGACCTTGTGACACTCAGTACTAAATGGGATGTCCCCATTAATTACTTTCCCTACAGACTCAGGGAATTATGCAGAAGAGGCAGCATATAGATTGTAAGAGCCAGAGGGGCTGAAGGACATGGAAGAAAAAAGACCTAGACACAAAAGAACTTAGGCACATATGAACTCAAGAGACTGTGACAGCATGCATAGGTCATGCACAGTCTGGGCCAGATGGGGTCCCAGTGCCTAGAGGAAATGTAGGCACAAGCTCCTATCCCTAACATAGAAGCTATGTCCAATTGATAACCATTTGAAAATGAAAGAAATAGTTTTTTTCCAAGGAAGATTCATTGAGTATACAAACCACACTTAGGGGTAGGCCCCATGCCTAGCACTAGATGGCCAATACAAAATGAATTCAACGTTATTTTTGGAGACTTTGGTTTGTTTGTTTGTTTGTTTGGTTGGATAGCTGGTTGTTTTTGTTTTGTTTTTGTATCTCATAATGCTTTGATAGGACTTTTTAAAAATCTTACAGGTATTTTGCTTTTATGTAATGGTTTCATTTGGGGAGTTAGGGAAAGAGAAACTGTAACTATATTATTATAAAATAAATCTATTTTCAACAGAAAAAGAAAAATAGGGAAGAGAAGGAAGAGGAAGAAGAATTTGAGGAAAAGAAAGAAACATGAAGTTGGGAGATGAGAAATTCAGAATGAATATGATCATATTTTATTATATATATGTATGAAAGACTCAATAGGCGAACTTTTGAAAGATTTATTTATATATTATGTATACAGTGTTCTGCCTTCATATATGCCTACTCTCCAGAAGAGGGCACCAGATCTCATTATAGATGGCTGTGAGCCACCATGTGTTGCTGGGAATTGAACTTGGGACCTCTGGAAGAGCAGCTAGTGCTCTTAACCTCTGACCCACCTCTCCTGCCCCAGTAAACATTTTTTTTAAAAAAAATAAACAACTTCTAGCTAGTTCTTATTCAATTTACATGTATTTATTCCTATACAAAATTTGGGTTTTTAAAAAGCAAGCATTCGCCGGGCGGTGGTGGCGCACGCCTTTAATCCCAGCACTCGGGAGGCAGAGCCAGGTGGATCTCTGTGAGTTCGAGGCCAGCCTGGACTACCAAGTGAGTTCCAGGAAAGGCGCAAAGCTACACAGAGAAACCCTGTCTCGAAAAACAAAAAAAAAAAAAAAAAAAAAGCAAGCATTCTTATTGTTTATAATGATATTTTATTATTATTTGAAACATAGAGGTTTAATTTTTAATTACTAAAATCAATATTTCAAGGATTTAAAAATTGAAATAAAAGACTAATGTATTAGTTGAAGATAATTGAGTGTTAGAAATATGGAAATATGAACCTGCTTGACTCACATTGTGACTTTCACACTAACATTGAATGAATCTTCACACTGTGTTTATTGAATAATCCCTAACAATTAAACCAAAAAAGATAAAAAAGATGAAACTACTTGTGAGTTTATAAAGATTTATTTATTTTTCTTTTCTATGTATAAATGTTTTGCTTGCATATATGTATGTGCATTGAGTGCATGCCTGGTGTCCTGGACGTCAGAATAGGGCACTGGACTCCCAGAAACTGGAATTACAGGTGGTTGTGGTCCACCATGCGGGTGCTGGGAATAATACCTGGGTTCTCTGGCAGAACAGCCAATATTCTTAACTGCTAAACATCTCTTCAGTTCCACAACCATTTTTTTATCCACGGGTATCCTTCCATGAAAAATGTGTTAGCTACATGGGCATGCTAAAGGAAAACATTTTAGGCATTCCTCATATATTCTAATAGAGTGTGCTAGGCATAAGCATAGGCAGACGTGCTCTGGTGTTAATAAAAAGAGCATACCATTTATCTTTTGTTGATGAATGTCTGTTATAGAAATAATATTATAATACTCTATATTAATAAACTTATATTTGAAATTTAGTTTACCACTTGGACATTGAAAAATTAAAATCTCATAATTGAATATTCATCTTAAAAACTGTGCATTATTTGTATGTGAGCATGCATGTGTGCATGTGCATGTGTGTGTGCTTCTGTGGAAGTGTGTGCATATGTACTATACAGCACATGGATGGAGGTCAGAGGACAACATTACGGACTCAGGTGTTTTTTTGTTTTTTTTTTTCTGTCCACCTTTAACTGGGTTCAGGGATTGAATTTATGTCACCAGGAATGTGTAACAAGTACTTTTACCCTATGAGTCATCTCACATACCCATATCCTTGAAATTCTAAATGATACACTTACTTGAAGATGGCTTAGGCTTTTCTAAAAGAAAAAAAAAGATAAGTGAAAATTTTCTGTCACACTCATACACACACACAAACACGCACACACACACACACACACACACACATATATATCATGTTAACTGTATATTTTCTATTTTGCTTTTATAATTTGAAAAATTAAGTATGTATTATAACAAGTAATAGACAAAAATTTCATATATCTTTAAAATATTTTCTAACATGTTCCCATAGAACTGGTATAGAATTTGGGAGTGTTTAACTTCTTGATTTTTCTCTTCATCTGCAAAATTTCAGCTTTTATTGGATAAGATACAAATTTTTAAAATAATCTGAACTTCCTACTTAAAAATTTTGCCACTCTTTCTCACTGATTGGACTCCCAGAGCTCCACCTGGGGCCTAGCCATGGATCTCTGCATCCAGATCCCTCAGTCGTTGGATGGGGTTTCTAGCATGACAATTAGGGTGTTTGGCCATCCCATCACCAGAGTAGGTCAGTACGGGCTGTCTCTCGACCATTGCCAGCAGTCTGTTGTGGGGGTATCTTTGTGGATTTCTGTGGGCCTCTCTAGCACTTTGCTTCTTCCTATTCTCAAGTGGTCTTCATTTACCATGGGTTTATATGAGCAAGAATTGTTGAGACCAAGGTTGGCTAAAGCACAGGGACAAACAGTCAAACGAATGGAAACACATGAACTATGAACCAATGGCTGAGGGGTCCCCAACTGGATCAGGCCCTCTGAATGGGTGAGACAGTTGATTGGCTTGATCTGTTTGGGAGGCATCCAGGCAGTGGGACCAGATCTTGTGCTCATTGCATGAGTTGGCTGTTTGAAACCTGGGGCCTATGCAGGGTCTCTTGGCTCGGCCTGGGAGGAGGGGACTAGACCTACCTGGACTGAGTCTACCAGGTTGACCTCAGTCTGTGGGGAAGGCTTTGCCCTGGAGGAAGTGGGAATGGGGGGTGGGCTGGGGGGAAGGTGAGGGGGGCGGGAGGGTGGAGAACAAGGGAATCCATGGCTGATATGTAGAACTGAACTGTATTGCAATATATATATATATATATATATATATATATATATATATATATATATATATATATATATATATAATTTTTGCCACTCTCCTTTCTGGGAATGCACTAATATTCACTAATCATTTGAATTCTCTAGAGTGTGAATGAAAAGTAGTATAATAACTTTGGAAGAAGAAATAAATAGTAGACAAAAATCTACCCTTTATAAGTATATTTCTTCTTTCTCCAATACAGCATGCCTTTGGAAATTATTAATTAAAATATTATTCAGTCCAATTTGCTCAGCCTTGGTGTAGGGAGGAGGGGCTTGGACCTGCCTCAACTGAATGTACCAGGTTCTGCAGACTCCCCAGGGGAGTCCTTGCCTTGGAGGAGGTGGGAATGGGCGGTGTGTTGTGGGGGGGGAGGTTGGGGGGGGAGGAGGGAGGACAGGGGAATCTATGGTTGATATGTAAAATAAATAGAAAAATCTCTTAATAAAAAATATTATTCAGTCTTATATATAAGCTTTCTTTACTCAAAGACAAATATTACATTATAATTTGGGTTATTTTTGAATGGTGAATGACTATATAGAGAAAAGAAGACAAAGTTTTTTGTTTTTCAGTTAGAATCCTTAGTTACAGCATCTGAGCCACACAATGTACTTCATAACACAAAACTTAGTAATATTAAAAAATGATAAAGCTAATTGTTACAGATTTTAATGAATTTATTTCAAGAAATTATTGTTGCTGATGTTCACAATCAGCCAAATTGGACATGTGTAATTTTAAGTAATATTTTAAAATCATATAAAGGGATCCCAATTCATGAGTATGATAAATGGCAATAATAGCAAGCTTGCTAAATAGCAAATATTATGGAAAGAACTTATAAGTCATGAAAGCAAATTCAGCTTGCTAGCTCCTCTGGATTATGTCGCATGCTTTGATAATCTTTTTTGATTACCTATAATACCACAGCTCTAGTGTCAGATAAGACAGATTATAGTACAAAACCCCAAACTAAACAGGACTGATAAATAAAACAAAAAGTGCCTACTTCATTTTTTAATGCCCAGATTTAATAAACATGGTGAAAAAAGGCAGCATGTAAGCCAAAAATGCCAAGAATACCTGTTTTAATAGACTGAGGCTCTTTATCTTGAGGATCAGCTTTTTCTGGAGAGGAAAATGAAAATTCACAGGAGATATGATTATTCTTGGAGCAGGGAGTGTGTTGCATTTCATGTGGGCAGACGGTCCTCACTTGCACAAGAAGCATATTCCTAAAGGCATTTCTATGCAACTTACAACACAGAAAGCTTATTGTCAAAGAGTATAGTATAGACAGGGTTAGATTCATTGTCAAGCGACTCTAAAATGTGTTCTCTCAGCACCTAAAAGATAGTGCCAGGATACTCAGTCTCTTGATAGCCTGTGGCTTAAAAGGAAGGAGACACAACATGCCAAAGGGACCAATGTGAAGAAGCTGCTTTGTTAGTGAAGGCTGTGTTTCTTGTGGCATCGGTCGGTCTTATACTCCTCCTCTGACCTGTCTGCCTTCAACTTTCCCTCTTTCCATGTCAAAAACAATTCAATTCTGGACATCTTCTCTTGTCTTGTTTAACATGCAATACAGATGTGCCTTACTCTAGAGTGTACCACACTTCGTATCCCTACACATCACCCTGCCCTTGCAGATCCAGCCAGAAGCACCACTGCTTAATCTCAACTGGGTCCAGGATGTGGCAAATGGAACCAAAATTTGTGACCAACAGATCCCTTTCTAAACCCTCTGAAAATACTCAGACCAATAATTGCTTTTTGAAAATATTTATCTTCCACCAAATACAGACTTTCCAAGTTTCACATGGTGAAATATCTTAAAGGGGAGTGAGAATATTTGGAAACTGAACAAAAACCAGAGCAGGCCACGCTAATGACCCCTAGAGTTAGTCTTGGGGTTTCCCAGTATGTTATCTGTCTTTCCTTTCCTTCATGATTGACCTTAGGAATTCTCTTTCATTACAGATATTTTTCTCCAACATCATGAACCAGCCATTGAAGAAGATAGAAATATGTGAGAAGTGACACTACATAAAAATAAATTATAAACTAAATTTGATACCATTCAAGAATAAAAGTCCATAAATCAAATTTACCTAAATGCTACATTACCTACTCATACAAAATGACAAGTAGAAGCCAATATTCCAATATAAAATATTGCAAGAACAACACTACAAAAGCAAAATAAAGCAACAATTATAACACGCACACACACACACACACACACACACACACACACACACACACACACACAACCAAAATATGTGTCAAGAGTGCTAGGGTACCTTTGCATTCTAAATAGGCTCCATAAACCCACACCCCATCTCCTGGGCTGCCAACATGACATCCTATCTTCTGTGTCACACTTCTCTTTAGATCTTATCATTTCATTTTTCCTCAGTGGTTAAACATGCTCTGACTTCATTTTAGAATGTGTTCTACAAAGGCATCTCCCCAAAAAGCAGAATCATAATTTTGTCACAATATTAGACTTAATGACCACTTGTGAACACAGGTAAATGTTCACAACCTCCTGAACTCCATCAGCCTCTCTTAAGTAGTCATCATTATAATCTGTGTATAAGGAAAGGATCTCTGAAGATCCACTCAAGGAAAGTTTACTATTTTAGTAGATAAGTGACAAAATGCTTGTAAATTTGTGGTTTTCTAAATGCTAAATCTGTAATGCAGCTTACAACATAAAATTTAATAGTAAGTATAGTTAATAACACAATTACTCATTTAATTTCCCCTTTCTATTCACTATGTAAATTTACATGATTTACTACCTACTTCTTGTTTCAGTATTTGATTACCTGTATGGACTTACCTGTTTAATATTAATAATACTTATAGACCTTCCAGACATTTCTTCTATGCAAATATCATGAATCACTGATTAATAGTGAACCATAAGGAAGTTAAATCAAAGCCATAAAACAACATTAATTTATCACTTATACAGAAATTTAGTTATAGTCTGCACTAAAAACAAACAAAAATAAGCAAATTGTTAAAATTGAAGTTAGTAGGCTATTTTACTTGCTGGTTTAGCACTTCGCTTTGGAGAATGAAGCAAAGTAGACAGTATGCTGATGAGTACAAGCAACAGGAAAAATATTTCACTCATACCCATATATATTTGTTCTTAGCTTAGATTATTTTCTCAGCTTAAATTAAACCTCTTTGTTTTCTGAGCACTATTATGCTAAAGTAGTAAATATAATTATTCATATTGCTTGTGAAAAACAACCAAAGATATGTAATGCACATAACATTTACAACAATCTCTGTATTTGGAATACAAATATGCCTAGATAGTTTTTTATATCCTTAAATATACACAGTGGATTGAGATACTCCAGGCTTGGAGGATGTCTTTACATGGTACTTTGAAAATTAAGGGAACATTTACTGGTGTTATAAATTTATTCAATGGTAAGAAGTGTAGTGGTATTTGCTCCGCCGATGACCTTGGGCTATAGGCCTGGAGGAGGTGCTTCTTGCCCATTGTAAGTGACCTCTCAAAAGGAAAGAGAGAGGGGCCACAAGCTCTTCTCCCTGTTTCCTGCTTCCTGGTGTGACTGAATTGTGAGGTGGATTCACTCTGGGTCAGATCAGAGGATGACTTCAGCTATCCAATTCGGTTCTGTATTCTTGAGTGTATTTCCTCAATTTATCCTAATACATTTCCTTAATACTCCTTAAGCAGACTCTCATGGGTTTCTCGCATTAAGGAAGAAATAGAAGAATGCCATATCTAGTGAAGTGAAGTGGACTCAGGATGGCCTATAATTTGTATTAGTTATTTTCCCTTGAGTCCTGTTTTCTTCCATGAAATATTTGAATCCTGCCCATCTCATCATCTCCGTTCAAAGGAAAGAAGTCTTCATAGATGATTTGTTTTAGAACAATTATGTGGAATAAAACGTGGTTCACTGGATAATCAAAGTGGTGAGCTTTCTTGGAGGATTCAAAGAAAAGAGAGTAAGGGGTTTAAGACATCAGCTCAGAGCAGGACACAAAAGTTTTCTTTGCTTTCTTGGGAAAGTCTCCAAAACGGAAAAGAATGTGAATCCTTTTTCAACACATGAAACAGTGGGGGATATGTTCTACTGATTAGTCCTTAAGGTAAATCTTTAATTAAAAACCCACACAATTCTCAGAGGAATGAAACAAATCACACGAGCTAATTTATAAGTGGGACAAAACTTCAAATTATGTGATTTGATTTTAAAATTTTATTCATTATTGTTCTATGTTTCTGTTCTTGCCTCTGTGTGTATCTCATTTGCAAATGCACATACAGACTTTCTCACACTCGCATACACACAGAGAAAGATAGAAATAAAGATAGATAGACAGATATAGCTAGCTAGCTAGATATAGACAGATAGATAGATGATAGCCAGATGATAGCCAGACAATAGATAGATGATAGATAGATAGATAGATAGATAGATAGATAGATAGATAGATGATAGACAGATGATAGATAGATAGATAGATAGATAGATAGATAGATAGATAGATAGATGATTTATAGATGGTAGATAGTGATCAGGTGTGTGCATTGTGGAGCTCAGAGATCAATTTTTGGAAGTCAGTTCTCTCTTCTTATTGTGGGATTTGGGAATTAAGTTCAGGCCATCTGGCTTGTATACTAAGCATGTTTCCTTGTTGAATATTTCACTGATCTAGATTTCTGCAATTTTAAAACTTGAGGATTTGAGAAATTGTGTTTTGAAAATAAGATGAAAGAACAGATTAGAATACATGATAATTAATATTTTAAATGGATTTCCTAATAAATTATGTATAATTTTGCTAGTCATGCTCTAAAAAAAGTTAAGCCACTTTAGTAACTACTACCTTCAATGAAAATTGATTATTTGAAATTATTCACAATAACTCAGAATTTCACAACTTATGGATTTAAAAGTATACATGATTCACCTATGATAATTCATACCAAACAAGAACTGAAAAATGACAAAACCAATGGACATGCTAACATTTAAGGGGAGAAATCTCTGGGGTTTCTACCCCTAGACTAAGAACTACTATCAACTAATGAATGCTAAAAGAAGGAGAATTAGTCTCTCTCAGGGATGAGGCCCTGATTGGTTATCCAATATCAAGTTGTCAGCCCTAGATAAGCAACATTTAATGGAATCAGCAGGTTGTATTTATCTGTTTATGCATATGTACATGTATATGTGAAAATAATAATCAAGAAAAAAAGATCATGAATATGAAAGGTAGGGGAAATAGGAGAGGTAGGAGGAAGGACAGGGAAAGAGGAGATGATGTGGTTATATTTTAATTTAATTTTTTAAATTAAAAATTATACATGCTTCATGCATACTTGTGCATATCTGTACACACAAGACTGATATAGAAAAGATGACTATAAAGGGATTTCTTTACCTGTCTTTTCCGCTGTGATAGCTTTTACCTGCTTGAAAACCTTCTGTTCTGTGGTAGGAGAAAATATTAATACAAGCAGAAATTTCCAACATAGCAGTAGAAAACAGTCATGCATTCGAACCTTCATATTTTGTGTTTGTTTAGATAACAAAATTTAAAAAGTTAGATTTTCAATAAAACAGCGAACTACAAGTTCTTTTAGATTGAATGAAAGCAGAGGAAAAATGACCCAGTAGAGATCTATCTCCCCAGTAGCTCTCCTAGTGAATTTTTGCAAACTTAAATTGTCTCCCGCACTGTGCATATCAACCTTTCCCTTCTTCTTGACTCTGACTTAATAGTACTTATATACATAGAGGTATTGCTATAAGATATATGGGACTCTTTCATTATTTGAGTAAAAAAGAAGATCAGTTCTGAACTTTCTTGTACAGATGACACCCTAAAAAGGTGTGTCTCAAAATGAAGTGATTATTCCAACAATTTCATACAAAATTGAACTCCAGAAGTACCATTTTGGTTGGAGTGAACTGGTGGGTTAAATATCCGATGAAGAAAGTTTCATTGGATAAAAGAATTTAAAGGACATGTAGTTTGTACTAAAGTTAGAATTGTTAGAAGAAAATAATGTGCTTTATATACACAGAAATTAAATCCATTTTGTCTGTATTTCATCTCCAAATGGCAAATATTTAAGAATATTTAAAAATAATGTTTCATTATAGATTTTAATTAGGAGATTCCATTTTTGTTGTTTTATTTTATTGTTTTGTTTTCTGTCAATGAGGTAGCCATTCCAATCTCTTGCCTTCATTTCACTACTCTGGTGTTTTATAGTATTTAGGTCTTGTATATATGCATACATGTAATGCGGGGCCTGGTCTCATATAGATTGGACTGGCTTTAAACTGGCTAAGTAGCAGAGGATGCCTCTGAACTACTAATTCTTTTGTTTCCAGCCACCAAGTATTGGGATTACAGCATGTGCATATGCTGCCAAACCCTGTGGGATCTCATATTTTAAAATTTTAGATGAATGAGATCACACTGACTCAAATCCATTACATAAGGATTTTCTTACGTGCAATTTAAAACAATAAGCAAATGATTTCCCAAGTTTCATTTAAGCAAAAATCATTTTAAGCTTCTCAAAGAATCAGGCCTAACTACATTCACGGGATTAAGTAGCACTTCATGGGATGCCTAAGATGAATGGTAATACTGTATGCAGTAGCTGAGGCTTGACTAATCTAAAAATCAACTTTGAACTGAATCAGCACTTAATAAAAACTAGAAATGTCTATTCTTAAATAAAATCTAGCTAATAAGTTGTTTCTGTAAGCTCTGCATCTTTATCATCAAAACACATTGTTTCACTTCTATTTCCTCTAAAACCCAAAAGGAAAGGGGGCCAGTATGGAAGAGAAGAAGGGAGTCGAGGAAGCAGGACAAATGTGGATTTCCTCAACATTGATGGAACTTGGAAAGTCTAGGGTGATAGAAGGCAATCTAAAGGACAACTTTTAGAAGACTGTCTTGTCCAAGGTAGGAAAAGGTAAATCCCCATGTAGAGCCCATTTACCTGGGTGCTGATTGGGATGCTCTTTGCAATAAGCCCAGGTCTGCTAGGCAGGGGAAGCAGGATGTCTGTTTGAATACTACTGTTAAACTCTCAGTTCAACCTGTATTGGAATGATGACTAAGACTGGAAATGCTCTTGAGAAGGTGATGGCTTATGGCATGAGTTATCACAGGTGACTTCAGATCTGACTCTATAATCTTCCTTCTGATATAAGCACAACAATGGGAGACAATTGGATGCAGCAATGCCTCTTGGGAAATACCTGGTTTACCATGAGGAGTAACTTGCTCCGGTTTGGGATGGTCGTGTTCTGAAAATAATAAAAAGATAAACCCGTTATTTTAAAGTTTTCTAGTGTAGTACACAATGAAAAATTTTCTGATTTAGGCTGATGGTTTATAACGTTGAAAATAACAATTGTTCCAATGGGGAGAAAATATTTTTAAACTTCTATGCTATCCCATTTCATATCAAAGACCTAAAGGCTTTGTTTTAGAAAAACATTACCACAAAACCTTTTATTTACATAACACCTGTAATTTTCAAATCATAGGCTTTGCAAAGCATAATGTAGAAGCATAGATTGAACTTTACAATTTTGGAAATAGAAAATGTTTTTTAAAAAGATTGTCTATGGCCGGGCGGTGGTGGCGCACGCCTTTAATCCCAGCACTCAGGAGGCAGAGCCAGGCGGATCTCTGTGAGTTCGAGGCCAGCCTGGGCTACCAAGTGAGTCCCAGGAAAGGCGCAAAGCTACACAGAGAAACCCTGTCTCGAAAAACCAAAAAAAAAAAAAAGATTGTCTATGAGCATTACAGGAGAATCAGATATACATACTGCGTACTTGACCTTTGTCAGACGGTGCTGAAAGGATAAAAATTAATAAATTACCCGACAAATACAATATGTTAAAACAACTAATATAAATTTTAAGTGGTATTAGGTACAACTCACTTTAAAAGGCTTTTTATTTGTAATGCTGAACCAGTGACATGGTTCAACAGGTATGTATTGTATGTATCAGATTTGGATTTGGGCTTGCCACCAAACCTGATGGATGACCCAAGCTTCCTCCCCAAAACCTACAAGTTGGAAGGAGTGAGCCAGTTCCCAGAAGTTTTCCTCTGACCTCAATTTGCTCACTTTGGCATGAGTATATGCTCTCTCTCTCTCTGTCTCTCTCTCTGTCTCTCTCTCTCTCTCTCTCTCTCTGTCTCTCTCTCTCTAAATAATTATAATTTTAAAATTAATGCAAGTGTCTGGTAAAATGTACTCAACCACCAGTCAACAAAAAAAAAACAGAAAATAAGTCATAAAAAGGTAGATAGATATCTATAAGCCCTAATACATGCAAATATATTATTTACAAGAGCATCTGGACACAAGTTATGACTAGCTGCTGGGTAAATGCTAGTGAGGGGTGGAGGGGTATGGCAATGCTGTTCATGACTCTAGATTGGCATTCTTAGATTACTTAATAGGTAAAGATTTTGCTATATCATTTCTCATAATGAAGGAATGGCTTCCAGAGAGCTTGAGGGCTTCTATAAACTTGCCTCAGGTCAGTAACTAGTTGGTATTGCAAGAAGGACTTAATCATGACAGTATAAACTAAAAGAGGGCATCCTGTTTTTAGGTCAACCTTAGTTGTTAATGAAATGATGCAGTTAGTTTTGGATGATTTCTTAATAGAACTTCTCAGGGGTTTGGAAAAAATTAGACACGGTGCAGAATTTTAGTTCTAAGTTTTATTAGCTTGAAAATATTGAAAAACTAATTGCTTCAATTTGGCCTTTTGAACTATCTCCAAAACTGCTGTATAAGGGTAGCACTAGCTGTGCTGTATGCTTCCATAATGATAAAAGTTACAGAGCGGTGTCCAGTTGTGCTGCACAGGAGTCCTCGTGAATTCTAGCCATTGCCCTCCTCATACTCAAACAGCCCATGATTTTATGAATTTGTGACGCCTGGTGATTATTGATAGAAATAAAGCCACAAAACTGACACGATCCTACTTGATTTCAAAACCACTCAGAATAAATTCTAAATCCTGGAGTCCTCTCTAAGTCAAGTATAAAACAGTGGTTCTCAACAAGTGGGTTGTGACCACCTTGGGGTGTCACATACCGGATATTTGCATATCAAACATTTATGTTATGATTCATAACGGTAGTAAATTACAGTTATGAAGTAGCAATGGGATAATTTGATGGTTGGCAGTCGCCACAACATGAGGAACTGTATTAGAGGGTTGCAGCATTGGGAAGGTTGAGAAGCACTGGTAGAAAGCCATAGTCTAGATATACCTTGTCAAATGGAAATGTGAATTTCACTAGAGTACTGTCAAATACTATTGGACAATAGAAAGGGGAAAATTGCAAGCAACTGAGAAACTGGAAATTTTGTTGGTAGCCAGTGATATTTTCAATTTCTGCCTGAGGGAAGTATGAATTCTGATAATATTTAAAATATTGTTACCTGGTTTTGCTTCCTTTTTAATTTGTGGCTCTGAAATGAGAAAAAAAACAGGAAAACACGATCTTAAGAAAATAAACTAAAGCATGAATTTATTATTGCAAATAATTTGTATTTTTATCTCAATAGACAATGAAGAATTTTGCTAATGATTAGTTCAGATTCATGATGTATTTTTAAGGAAAGATTATTGAACACAATAGAGGTAGAAACTCACTGTATACTTGACTATCATTAAACTGTTGTCTTATAATGTGCCTCAGGTGAACAGTTAGTTTGGAGTTTAATTAAACCTAAACTGTCTTCTTTGTTTCAAGCTGATTGTAATAAGAAAGAGTTCCAAAATAACATTAGATAAATCATTTCAACAACAAAATTGGAAGAGATTGTCTAAAATAGATCTAACTAATCTGTTTAATTTAGGAATTTAAATATACACTATTATGGCTTGAATGTGTCCCCTAAAGATAGGCTGAGTCCTCAGCATCAACACCTGAAAAGTGATATTATTTGGAAATTTGGTTAATGCTGATGTAATTAATTCAGATGTGGTGAGACCCTGTTAAGGTAGGGTGGCTCCTATTCAGACAGAGAGGGAGAAGACGGACAATGTGACAATGGTGGCAGAGATTGAAGTGCTGAGTTGAAATCTCAAGGAATATATGGATTTCTGGTACCCACTAAAAGATAGAAGAGACAAGGAAGACTCAGAAGATATTTCAGCTAAGCTGGGAAAAAGGAATGTTGTTCAACCTGCAGAGCTGTGGTGGAAATTATGCTGCTTTAAGAAACAGTTTGAAGTACCTTATTCCATTCATAGAAACTCACAGATTGTATTAGGAAGTGGAATACTGCTGTAACAAATACAAATACAGAAGTAGGCTGTGGATTACATAGTGTCGGGATACTGGAAAATTTTGAAATACTTGAAAAGAGCCTGGATTCCCTTGAAGAGATGACTATTTGCATAAATAAAGACACTGAAGACTGTTCTGAAGAGAGTTAAATAGTTTAGTATCTACTAGTACCCCTGAGTAAAGGATGTCACATCTGCCCATGACTCCTTGTATTATCTTCATCCTCCTAGTCTCCCTTGACCCTCCTCATTTTCTGGCTTCCCAACTCGAACCTCACAGAGATCCATATAAAAATTCGTATTTCTGTCACCACTGGTTTTTTGTTTGTTTGTTTGTTTGTTTGTTTTGTTGGAATAGCAGAAAACCACACAGAGGGCGATTTACGTGATAAAGAAACCCACTTTTCACAGTACTAGTGGTAGTGAAGTTCAAGACAAGAGCCAATTGCCAGCACATGCTGTCCCTAGTTCTAAGATGGTGTCTTCTTGCTGCTGCATCCTATGGAAAGGAAGTGTTGTTCTACCACAGGACAGAAGGTAGAAGGTATAAAAAGCAATAATGCACCTGAAACTACTTTCGTAACAGCCTTGATCTCATTCTGGAAACAGGAACCATCATCGGCTAACTACCAGTTTGTGGTTCATCTCCTAATCCCGCTGCATTTGTCACACCTGGGCTTTGAAAGAACAAATTCAAACCAAAGTATATGTACAGCTCTGCATTTAAACAACATGCTGCTTGGAAGAGGGATGCTGAAGAAGACTTTGTTGCTTTTCCTAACTAGAAAATGGGACACATTATTGGACAATGTAGAAAAGAGAATGAGATGAAGCATCGTCTTTGGAGAAGAGAGTATATTTGTTGAAAGACAGAGCTCTGAGCCGAATTGTGTTCTTCTGTAGATTTGAAAGGCCAAAATTGTAAGCAAATAACTTGAGTTTTTAATTAGAAGAGTATTTTCAAGAAAATGCTGAAGACATGTGTAGACTGATATCAATCTGTCCCTTGTAATAGAATGTGAAATACAATTAAAACTGTTAATAAAAAATAAACCATCCCACAATGATTTGGGAAAATTTCACCCAGTCCATAATAATCCTAGAGACAGGGATAACTGAAGCTAGACAAAAGGTTGACAGTATGTATAGACAGCTTGATCCAACCAGTCACACTTACAGAAAATATAAGAAAAATGATCCTGGAGATAGGTGTGGAAGATTCTGATTCTGTCTTTATTGAATCATCATAGATTGAATGTGGGCTGAATCAAGCTATTGAGAATTTTAAATAAGAAAAGACAACACTACTAAATGAACAGAGACCAAAGCAAATAAAGAAATGACTGAAAAGGTTGGAGCCATTCTTCTGCAGCGAGATGAGGCATAGCTACCACCCCCATTAAGCCCAGAGGACAGCGGACAGAAACAGAGAAAATATTCTCAAGACTTGAAATTGTCCAGGATTGAGAACTTGTTTACCCACCGCATCCTTATTTTTGCTTCTAATTTTTCCTCTTGGAATGAGGATGTGTACCTAATGGCTGTCTCATCATTGTATTTGTAAACATATCATTCATGATGGACTCATAGGTAGAGAATATTTTATCATATTTTTCCACCCAAAACTGATGTAGATCACCTGTATAATAACATCAACATCTGGAATTTTTAAGTGAAATTAACAGGTAGGATTAATCGCAGATGTTACAGTAATTAATATTTGACAATGTAGGTATGGCATCAGTGTGTTTTGCACATAGGAAAGACATGAATTTTGGCAGGATAAAGGAAAGACTTGAATGGAATAAAGCATGTAATCCAAAAAAGTGTGTCCAAGTACTTTTCTGCAGGACCTGAGAATGTTATCCAATTTGGAAATGTGTTCTTGCAGATGTAATTAGTTAGGATATTACAATAGGCATGTGGGTAGGTTCTTCATCCACTGTGACTGGAGTTCTTAAGAAGAAAGCTACTGACACCCAAACACTCATGGAAAAGATGGCCGTGTAACCACGGAGACAGAAGTTAGAGTAAGTAGTCTGTATGCAAGAAAGGCACAAGAATGCTGGTAAGCATTAGCAGTCAAAAAAGACAAGGATGGATTCTTCTCTGTGGGTTTCAAAAAAAACATGGCTCAACCAACTCATTGTTTGCAGCCTCTAGTAATTTTATTGTATTTTATTGACAATTATATATCACAAATATATTCAGAAGCCATGAATTAAAACTTTAACTGTTTCACAATTGGATACCATGTGTTCTTTTGAAAACATTTCTGCATACAACCTGTTATGGAATTGTTCATTTAACTCAGGAGGCTGGAAGGAGAAGTATGAAGACAGATTTTTATCTGATAGGAAGTCTGTGCTCCCAAAATTTAGAGAAAAGGTATGAGTTGGTAAGAGTCAAGGCAATGGGTTGGTTGCTTTGTTTGAAACATAGAAACTTCTTGTAGTTTTTATATGTATAATAACATGTTTTTCAAGAAATTGATATCTTAGATGGATAAAAAAGCTTTATTGTTTTATTTTTCCTCCATGAATAAATACTATGTCTTTGTAATACTCAAAGTACATTTTTGATATATAAATGGATACCCCAGGACTGCAACAAAGTCAGAAAGAAAGCTTCTCTTTAAAATCAGTCGCAAGCAATCTTGTCTACAAAGGCTTACTGATCTATTTATTTATTTATTTATTTATTTATTTATTTATTTATTCATTCATTCATTCATTCATTCATTCATTTATGTAGGATGGCAATTGTTTGAGAGACTGAGAAGTGGCAGAAGGAAAAAGGGTCAGGAAGGAAGGATTAGAAAAAGACTTCAATTGACCAGAATCTTACTTTATGTATGATAATCTAGCTTCCCATAATATTTCAAAGAGTTATGCTATTCATTTTAAGTATGGAATGCATACATGCATGAATTTATACATTAGAATTCATACCTGATTTCTCTTCTTTTTTCACTTGTGGCTCTAAAAATGCAAGTTGTAATGATTACACAATGGTATCAGTCTCTTTTCTGCACATGTATTTCTTTTATACAGCATCAATTCTGTTTTAATCTGTCATAATTTAATCAACTATATGTTCCTTGCAGTTACGGCAAAGAAAGGGAGACCAACAAAGGCCTTCCCTTCCCAATCAAAATAAGAATTATTCTGAGAAAATAAATGGAAACACAAGCAAAAACTTTCAGTAACAGTGTCAAGGAAGTCTGTGTTTCCAATGCATCAAGAATAAAGGAAGAGCCAGGTGGTAGTGGCGCATGCCTTTAATCCCAGCGCTCAGGAGGCAGAGCCATGTGGATCTCTGTGAGTTCAAGGCCAGCCTGGTCTCCAAAGTAAGTTCCAGGAAAGGGGCAAAGCTACACAGAGAAACCTTGTCTTGAAAAACAAAACAAACAAACAAACAAAAAAATCAAACAAAAAAGAATAGAAGAAATTTCAGCATAGCATAGTGTAAGAAATATAGTTGGATTCTATTCACAGTGTCTAGACAAAACAGTTAAGCAACCAGCTTTCAGCAAAATATTTAAAATGGGCTCAGATAGATATATAAAAACACACATTTAATATTTGTTTTATTTATTAACTTATTCACTCATTGAGCATGCATATAACATACGTGGTGGTTTGGGCTTTGCATCTTTGCCTATGAAACATTGAGAAAAATTAAAGATTTCAGTCTTGTAATGCTTATTGAATTGTTATTTGGTATCATAGAATACAGACATATTAAAAAGATAAAAACCAATCAATATAGACTTCAGCTATTCTTCTTTACTGAGCTCCTATAACATTTTTATTTACATCATGATAAAGATGCTAATTGATGACTCCTTTAAATTGCAGAGCTTTTAGTGTGACTACATTTATTAATAAAATGAGCATGTTCACCAGCTCGTGTGCACTGCTAACTTAGTACAGAAAGTGAAGAAGAGAGCACACACAATTTAATTTTGACACTCATTAATTTTTAACCCAACATTGAACTAGATGAAAAATTCAATGATTTTTAAATTTTATTAGAATTATTAACTTGTTATCTGCTGAGTTGGGAATTCTTACTGAGTATAGACACATTTATTACAGGCTAAGATGATTGTGCAGGGGTTAGCAAACTTCTTAGAAGGTCAGGTAGTCCACATTGTCAGGTTTTAGGTCATTATGTTCCACACATCTATAGTTTTAATACTCTAAAACATATTTTAGATAGCTATAATGAATTATTAATGAAGGAATTTCATGTTCCATATTGATCTCAGACTTTCTAATCACTTTCAATATGATAAATACAGAAGCTATTCTGAAGTGCCTAAGACTTATCTTTAATTGAATTGTTTAAAATTTGAATTTTAGAGTAAAAAAGGAAAAGTTTCATGTACAAGTAGAAAGGGAAATTCTCTGGAATTTATTTACCATATTCATAATTTGAATGATTATTTTTACTTGACTTAGAGAAAAAAATGAATTAATATGTTTAAAATTTGGAGTTTGTAACACCTAAATTTTAAGACAATTTAGGCAATTATAACACAACTACAGTCTCATAAAATTCTTGAGCGTAGAATCATTTTATGAATATAAAAATGTGGAGATTTTTCTTGGGAAGAATTTTGTAAGGAATCTTACAGAGAGTATCATTAAAAAAGTGAATTAAAGTTAAATAAGAGATAATGGCTTACTATAACAGTAGTGGAATCTTATAATTTTATAACACATAGTAAGAGATTTAAGAATCCCCTGGAATCAACTTTTTTTTTGATTTTATAAAATAAAAAGTACCTGTTTGTGAATCATCCAGGTTGTGCTCTGTGTTTGTGTGTTCATTGATAAGTCATGTCATTCCACATTCAATGGTGGAAAATCCCAAGAGCAGTTCCCAGAGCAACACCATTATCTAGGAAACTGTCCTCACCCCACATCTGCTCTTTAAGACATTTTTGAGACAGGCCCCAAAGTTTATCATTTAGAAGCTTTCTTCAATGACTCTGAGGATCACTTCAATTGCAAACAGTTATCCCAAGGGGGTATTAACAGCATTTGTACTGGGTCTTGGTATACTGTGTCTTGATGCAGATATATGGCTATGCACTTTTAATTTGTTGCTAACCACTGGTCAGAGCATATAGAAAGAGAACAAAGATGTCCTAACGATGGAATCTCACCAGTAAAATATAGATATCACATAGGCTGTTTATATCTCTGATTTGATGGTGTCACATATTCAGTTAAGATAACATTGTTCAAGTCTAAAAAATCTAAGAAAAGCCACAGGTGAAAAAAAGGTATTCATATATAATTGAACATTGCACATACACACACATACACACACATACACACACATACACACACACACACACACACACACACACACACACACACACACACACACACACATGGTCTCAGTGGATGCATTAGATAAGGTTAAACGTTTAGGCAACAATGTAAAGGGAATGTGTAAAATGTTTGCTGGAGAGAAAAGTCTGTAAGGCAGTACTTCTCCAGCAATAGTAATATATTTGAAGGAAAGAATGTAAATTCAAATATCTTTGCTATTGTCGTGTTTTGTCAGCTTTACAGCTGAAGAGGAGTTTTAATTTCTTTTCTCCCTTGTCAGTTTTCTTAGCACCTTTGGGTGTTATCAGAACTAGTTCTAGGTGGCAGGGGTAGGGGTGGCCCATGTCAGTTCCCCCTTCAATTTCTCCAAGTGAGAAATGGGTTTAGACTCCAGCAATTCTGTTTTCCTTTCAAGTCTAAGAAGCAACCAAGGACAATGGCAATATCCTGTATTGTTTAGGGAACCTCTTGAATTCCCCTGACCAACAACTCAAATGAGGTTTGTCTTGCTTACCACCAGAGACTTTGTTAAATAATCTATTACTCTTGAGTGGAACATTATCACCTCAAGTAACCCAACTTAATTTAAATTATTTAAATATGTAAATATGTATGCATACATGTTGCAGGAATCTTAAAAGTTCTTATTAATAAAAACAAACCTGAGGCCAGTTATTGGGATGAATGCTGGAAGATCAGAGAGACAGAACAAGCCACAGCTACCACACCTTGCCAGTTCCTCAGCTGGTCCTGTTTCCTCAGACTGGAAGTCTGTGAGTCCTCATCCAAATGGATTTCAGCTGAACTGTGCTGCTCCAAAGCCTGAAAGCTTAACCAGTCAAATGCTTCTAGTTTCTGGTCCTCATGCCTTATATACCTTTCTGCATTCTACCACCACTCCCTGGGATTAAAGGCTCGCTTTCAGGGATTAAAGGCGTGAGTCAGCATGCTTGGTTGTATCCTTCAACACATGGATTTCTGCCTCTGGAATGCTAGGATTAAAGGCATGTGCTACTACTGCCTATCCTCATGTTTAATGTTGTGGCTGTTCTGTCTCTGACCCAAAATAAGTTTATTAGGATGCACAATATTTGGGGGAACACAGTATCACCACACACACACACACACACACACACACACACACACACACACACACACATACATATATATAATGTATGTTTCTAAGTTAAAATAAAACATGTTTCTCTATGTATTTTTCCAGTTATCCTTGGTGTTCTTTATCTCTCCACCTTTTCTCTTCCTCAGTATCCCTCCAACAGCCCCCTTGCTAGATAGGGTACCATCCAGCTTTTCCCAATTCTGCCTTCACAGCACCTGGGTCCAACTATTCCCTTTGCTAGAGCTCCTCTATTGCTACAGTGGTTCTTTTTGTCTACCTTGTATCTTTGTTTACTCCAGATTTTATACTCATAAAAAGGTTTGGAGCTAGAATCCACAAATAATAGTGATTGTCTTTCTGTTCTATATAAGGTACTTATATACAATTGTATTATACTAATACAATTAATGCAATATATTAAATAGGAACAAATTCATGCAGGGCACTGTAAACCTAGCCAGCTATGCATGGCTGGTGAGGCAAACGACCCTGGAAGAGAACTAATAACCACCACATTCCTAAACCAGTATAATTTCCAATTGTATTCTCATATCCATCCTGGTACCCACAGATAACTATAGTTCTCAGCCCTCATAAAAGAATTTCCCTTGTGCAGAATATGGAGCCCAATGCCTTAATCCACATTGCCCAAAATGCAGGAACAAATGACTGTGGGGTGGCCATCCCCAGTTGATACTTCTACAACGTATCTTGCACATGATGCTCAGGGACCATCATCACAGAGGGTTCAGAAAGACTGTAAGAACAAGAAGACCAGGAAATCTACTAAGATAGTGCCTTCTAGTTATAGTGCCTGAAGACCTGGACATCTGCAATGAGATAGTTTCTTCTGTATATGACAAGGATTTACACCCATGAACTGTTAACAATAAAGTCACCCAAAGAAGACTAATGATAACACCATTTAACCTCCAACACGAATATGGGACATCTCACAAGGCCCTACCAATAGATGAAGACCTAAGGGAATTAGTGGCTGCTGAGAGGGGGAGAATCAGTCTTCTCCAGGGATGAGATAGCTACCTGATAGATTATTCAATCCCAAATGATCACCTCTAAACACATACACATTTTAGCAATACTATATGGACTCAGTAAGATGTATGCATACACACACACATATATACATATGTATATATATATACACACATATAATGTATCTGTAAAAATAATAATAAAGAGGTCCTAAAGATGAGAGGGAATAGAGAGAGCAGGAATGGAATATGGAGTCAGAAGTACATGAGATGGAAATGATGCAAATGTTGTACTCATGTAAAAATATGTAAATTCAAAAATAATATTAGTAAATAAACATTAACAAAATACTTTCCAAGTTTACCCAATACATATTGAAGTTTGATATATACTGTTCAATAACCATGGTTGCACTTGTTTACAATATTAATTTAGTACACAATCATGACCATTTTTCACAATTATGTTTCCTAATTGTTTATTGATATCTAAGCAAACAAGGCTTAATTAAGAGCCAGAGAAAATGCTCTCAATTTATTGGGTTATAAATTAATATTCTTATATTTTTGGTTGTGAGCCTAGCCTTTAACAGCTGAGCCATCTCTCCAGCCCAATAAATTAATATTCTAAAAAAATAACATGTTTTAAATGTAAGGGAATTTTTACAATTTCAAGGGCAGTAGTACCCTATCAGATATTATTGTTGAAATCTAGAAATAATGTGTTATATAATCAAATTAGTATAACCAGGATTATATTTACAACAGAAATTACAGTAAGTTTGATTCTTTCAGGTAGGTAGTAATTGATCCAATCAAAAAAGTAATTTCCAATGAGTAACAATATAAGGATATACATGTTTGTGTTTTTATTCATTTTAGTAGTTTCAACTTTATATTTTATTATTTATTTTCAAATTATTTGAGTTAATGTAAATAAAACGTCAATGCAATCCTTCTCTTTTATCCCCACTATAAGCACTAAAGTCACAAGCAACTAATTTTTAAGTAAGTTAAAAAGCAAATAGTTATGAATCAAAAATATTTTATATTAGACCCACAAATTGTAAGTCATAATGTATGAAATTAGGGTCACTAAAGTACAAGGGGCCCTAATTTACATATGAAGAAAATTTTCACAGTGTGATCAAAATGACAACGTTTTTGACTTAATACAGTTGCTACAAGCAACTGATA